TCTATATTTCTTTGACTCTGCTTCATGCGATCTATTTCTTTCCTGAAGTGCTCATTCAAGGAATCTTTCATTTTTCTAATCTCCTCTATTTTTTTTTTTATCAATGTCTTCTTTAGAAGCAGTTATAAATTCTTTTACTGTAGTGTTTTTTTCAGATTGGGTTTCCTCCGTATGTTTCTGTAGTTGATTCTGTACTTTAGATGCTATGAGTTCTGTGAATTCTTATTTTATTTCAGAAAATAATTCTGCTGTGAGTTGCTCTATAACTTTCTGCTGTTGCTTATTTAGTATTGATGCTATTAATTCGTACATTTGACCTGAGCTAGTAGAAAAGAATTTCGCTCTGAATTCCTCTATGACTTTCTGCTGTTGCTTATTTACTATCGACACTAGTAATTCCTATATTTGAGCTTAGCCAGTGTCCTCTGCACTTGTTCTAGGTGGGCATTGTGTTTCCTCCATATGTTTCGGCATTTGATTCTTTACTGCAGATGTTATTAATTCAGGGATTTCTTTTTTCATTTCCAATCTGAGTTCCTCTATACCTTTCCGCAGCTATTTCTTTATTTCAGAAGCCGTCGATTCATTGCTTTCAGCTGTGTGTTTCCCAATTTGTTCTTTGTTAGTGTCCTCTGCACTTGTTATGGGTGGGCTTGTATTCTGAGATTGCATTTAGCTTCTTCTCATTGTCGTTTTGTGTAGCACTCTTTTCTGACCTTTGTTGATCTTTGTTGCAATTATAGCCTTAGCACCTCTTGAAGTTCATTTGTAGATCTACAAAGTTTGGATTTATCCAGCTGTCCCTGGCTTCAGTCTGGCTGCTGTGCTCAGTTCCTTCCTGTTGCTGCCCTTGGGGGTGAACCTGTTGTTCCCCTCTGGCAAGATGTTCTGCTCCTGGACTAGCTGGGTGGTTCTGTCCCCTACACTCTCTGCAGCTATTATAGCTGAAGGGTTTCACCCCAGGCCTGTATGCCAGTCCTGAGCTGAGTCTGGAGAGGACAAGGTGGAGTAGCCCAGAGAGGCTGCTCTCCTACACACTCACTGTGCCTTGGCTAGGACTGGGTCTGGGAGTTCTCGGAACACAGCAGAAATTCTTACTTGGCGGGCGGTGTAGGGGAGGTGCTGTGGAGTGGTTGGGGGCGTCCCAAGGGGTGGAAGAGGGTCTCACCCGTCCTGCGCCTCAGCTGGAACCAGTAGGTTCCGCCGGCGCAGGGTAGCCTGTAGCTCTCTCACACACTCACTGGGCCTGGGCTAGGACTGGGTCTGGGGGTTCCCGGAATGCGGCAGAAATTCCTACTTGGAGGGTGGGGTTGGGGAGGTGCTGCGGAGTGGTGGGGGGCGTTCCAAGAGGGTGGAAGAGGGTCTCACCCATGCTGCACCTTGGCTGGTAGAAGTAAGTCACGCTGGATCAGGGTAGCCCACACACACAGCTCTCCCACACACTCACAGGGCCTGGGTCTGGGTGTTCCGGGAATGAGGCCGGTGGGGTAGGGGAAGTGCTGGGGAGTGGTGGGGGCATCCCAAGGGGGTGGAAGAGGGTCTCACCCATGCTGCGCCTGGGCTGGAACCAGTAGGTCCTGCTGGCGCAGGTTATCTGGAAGCTCTTCCACACACTCACCGGGCCTGGGCTAGGACTGGGTCTCCAACCAGTTTTTTTTAAAGGAAATATTTATTTATTGGATATATGGTCTCACTATGCACCTCAGACTTGTAGTGATCCTCCTGTCTCAGACTCCCCAGCGCTGGGATTATAGGTTTGTACCACTATGTCTGGATTTCAGAGCCAGCACGGTGTTTCCTTGGTTCCAGGGCCAGCATGGCATGTAGGTACTGGGGATTTGAACCCAGGTTCTTGCACTTGCCAGGCATGTGCTTAGACTACTGAGGTATCTCCTCAGCCCCTCCAACCAGTTTTTGTAGACACATGTAAATTGATTCTGAAATTTATATAGAAACTGATACTAAGACTTAGAATAGCTCAAATAATTTTGAAAAAGGAAAAAAGCAGGATAAATGACTACTTAATATTAGGACTTACAACTATGTTAATCAAGAGTGTGGCAGTGGGAACAAATAAAGAACACAGGAATAGACCCATACAGATGCTCCCAACAGAGTTTTTTTTTTTTTTCTTTTCACAACCGGGGATTGAACTCAGATCCTTGCGTTTGCCAGTCAAGTGCTTATCCTACTGAGCCATCTCCCCAGCCCCTGCAACAGAGCTTTTGATGAAGGAATAAAAGTTAGGCTTCTTTTCAACAGATAGTGCTACAGCAAGTAGCCATCTGGGCTGTAAGAAAACATAGATGTTTTTTGTCCTTTGCTGGCATAGAGCTAAAAATCTTGGCATTTCCTGATAGGAGTATCTTTTGTTCATATGGAAGCTCTTTCATAGTTATACCTCAGTTTAACCAATTCGGTGACTCAGGACAGGGCCTGTAGATAGTACAGGATGTGGGCTGGCTGATCACCACAAAGAAGTCTTGCTTGTACTTTCCACTGTATGTAGCTCTCCCACATGGCTGCTCCTGACTTGTACCCTTTGTCATTAGCTGACAAACGTGAGTGCGTTTCTGTGCTCTGTTAATTGCTCTAGCAAATTGTCAGATTTGGGACAAGGCCATGAATTTGTAGCTGGCCTAGAAGTGTTAGTAGTCTGTGGCTGGTGTCGGGAGTGGGTCTGCTCCCTTGACTGTCTTATTCTGGGTAGGTAGTGTCTAAATTGGGTCGGACTTTTAAAAATCCAAAAAATTATAAGAACTGAAGAGAAATCAGGGTATAGCTTGAACCTTTAAAAAGCTAGTGGGTGTCAGAAAAAGAAATGTAGGGATGTGTTGGTCTCAGAGAGATTGGTTCTACCTGGGGAAAAATGGCGGCAAGAATGAGAAAAAGACAAGAAGAACAAAAGCTAGGCTAGGTTTTGGCTGGTCTGTTTGGTTGGTGACAGGAACCCAGGAGCAAAATAAAGCCTATGTTTATTTATACTTTTGCAAAGTTAGTAACATGTGACACATGTAGCCTAGTGACTAATAGGTAACCTTAACCAGACAGGATGTTTATCTCAGGACAGAGGTAGCTTGTTTGCTGTAGGCACTGAGGCATTGTCTCACCTATCCAGATTTGACCAAATTTTCTGGCTTCCATGGCTTCCAGCTGAAAAAGGAAGAAGGAAGAAGCACTTCAGCATCCTCAAGGGAACAAAATGGACCTGAGCTTAAACCTTACATCTTAGACAAAAATTAAAACTGATGTGAGTTCAATTCCTGGTAATGCAAGCAAGGAAGCAAGCAAGCAAACAACAACAACAAAACTGATGATGGACTTAAACATAAAAGACAAAACTATAAAGCTTTTATGAAAAATATAGGTGGAAAACCTAAGAACTTGTTCCTTTGTTCTGCCAAAGATCCTGTTAGAAATATAAAAGGATAAGTAACCAGCTGGGAGAAAATATTTCTCAGGTTTATATCTGACAAAGCTTATATCTAGAATATAAAGATCTTTACAAAACTAATTTTTTTAAAAAAATTAGAAGATGGGCAAAAGAGCAGATTACTGATGAGGATACAAAGATGACAAATACTGTGAAAATATGGGGGATGTTATTAGCCATCAGGGAAATAGAAATTAAAATCACAATGAAAGAGAAAAAACAACCTACAATGAGATTTCACAATGCAGCTATTGGCTAACAAACACCCACCACTACCGACAACAAGAGCACCCTGTACTGATAAAAATGTGGAGAAGCTGATTCACAGGTGGTGTTGGTAGAACTTTAAATAATAGTACAGCTACTATGGAAAAGAACAAGGCAAGTTTCTGCAATATGTGTGTTTGTGTGCCATATGAGCTAGCATTGCAGTCTTGGGCATTTCTTCCCTAAAAAGTGAGTGCTTAGGTTCACTAGAAAGTCTGTGCATGAATATTCATACAATGTTTATTTGAAATGCCAAAATACTGGGAAGAAAATGACTTACAGTGGGTGAATGTTTATTGTATACTGTCAAAATGCTACATAGCAATAAGGGATAAATGTGTTCTACACTAGTGGAGTTTAAGAGAATTAGGGTTACGTGCTGCATGATTATACAACATTCTGTGGAGCGAAATTGGTGCCCAGGGTTGCAGGTGGGAGAGGGTGTGAAAGCAGACGGGGTGGTGGAATTATCTGTTTGGATTGAGGTTGTCGTATATGAATTAAAATTCTCAACTGAATATAAAGTGAGTGTTGGTGTATGCAAATAAAAATGTCTCTAGAGTAGAAGGAGCTGTGCCCTATACGTCTTGACAGGCATTCCAAACGAGCAGAATGACCTCAGAAGCTCTGCTGTGGGGAGCTGGCAGCGGGCCTCCCGAGCCCCAGCGACCCCTCCTCTGGCCCTCCGCGCAGCTGCTCCAGAGCCCTGCTGCGCACGCTTCGGGCTCCTCGGGTTCGCAACTCCCTTTGCGGCTGGGAAGCAGGGCCTCAGTCTCCATCCCCGGAAGTCGCCCGCAGGCTCCGGCTCCGTCTTTTCGCGGCCCGAGTCTAGGGTCTTCATTCTGCTGCGGCCGCTCCCCGTGTCTCCCCGCCCGAACCAGTCCTCTGTATCTCCGTTCGCGCGTGTCTTTCATCTCTGGACCTCGAGCTGACTCTTGGTCGTCTCCACCTCTGTCTGCCTGCCTGCCTATCTGTCTCCCTTTCTTGGCACACGCGTCTAGGGCTTTCCAGTTGCTTTTACTCCCCACCTCCACGTTTTCCTGTGTGTTCAGTCTCTCTGCCTTTGTCTCCGCCTCTTAGGTTTCGGGGGAATCCGGGCCGCCTTTTCTTATTCTCTTGTTTACGCCGTTGCCATGGCATAGGAGTAGGCGTAGGCACCAGTGGGGTGGGACAGAAAGAGGACCCTGCCTCTGATTGGCTGGCTGTCCTGTCAGAGAGATCCCCGCCCCATCCCGGCCTCTCCGCTGCCCTGCTGCATCCTGGGGGTCGCAGTCCTTGCGACCGGCTGCCGCGCACGCGCATTTAGGCCGGTCGCCATCACGCTTCTTGGGCAGGGGGTTGCTGGAACGTTCCCCGCGCTGCTGCGCAGCAGGTGGGTGGGCCTCGGGCGCACTCGTGTGTGGGCTGTGAGCGCCCAGCCGGGTCACTGCGCACCTTTTGGGGTTCTGGGCGCGGCCTGAAGTCGGAGGGGCGTGAGGACCGCTCGGGTGGGAGTGTGGCCGTGTGTGGTCCTGAGCGGGGGGCGTGTAGGAGGAGGAGTCTGGGGGCCTCGGGTGGATTGTGGCCCGGGGTGCTGTGTGCCCCCCCCCCCCCCCCCGTGTGGAGACAGGGCAGGGGCTCAGGCCACCCTCTGGGGAAGTGCAGCCAGGCGCTCCCCTCACCCCATGTGGGGACAGGAGGGAACGGCGCCCCTCACTCCAGTGTGGGGTGGGAGGTCTGGGGCATCCTCAGGTGAGAGTAGGCGGATGCGTGCCAGGGACCCTGCCTATGATCTGTGCAGTGTTGGCGTGGCTGAAGGGGTGCCTCCCTCGAATGTTGGGTTGGGGTAGAGTGGGAGGAGTTGAGGTGGTAGAGATGAGGGGATTTCAGTAGGTAATGGGTCCCCAGAATCAGGTTGGGGAATTAGGGGGATTCTTCCTGGGGTACCTGAGTGGCCCAACTTAGAGTGCCTCTGGATGGCACACAGCAGGTGCAGGGGAGATGTGGGAGAGAGTCCTTTCCCCCGGATGGGGTGGGGTTCTGCTTCCCAGCCTCCTGCGGGTGGTTTTGCTGGACTGAGGGGTACACCTCCCACCAGGAGCCCTTTTGGTAGAAGGAGGGCAGAAGTGGGAGTCTTGGTCCTGGTGCTGACCCAAAGGGTTGGGTTGGATGGATGTGTCTGTCTCCCTTGTGCTGCAGAGGAAGAAGGCAGAGGGGCTGAAGACCACTGAGGATTGGCTTTGTCTTAAAAACTTTTGTCACTAAAAGGTTGTGGAACCCCAGTGTGCCTTCTGCTCATTTACCCATTAGTATTTTGCCCCTTTCCTGACTTCATCCTGCACCCTGTCCACTCTCATTTTTTATTCACCCTACACCTCAGTGGGCTTCTTGAGGCCAGGGATGAGCAACATAGCATTCTGGGGCTTCACCTTCATCCTTCCCATCCTGGTAGTGTCTGTGATCTCGTGCTTCTGTCTGTTACACCAAGTTTTTTTTTCTCTCCTGGTCCTTGAGTTTGTAGTTTCCCTGCTAACGCTGACCTTGAGACTTTGAAGAGCCTGGGCCACTTGTGTAGAGCATCCATCTGGTCCTGTGTACTGTGTGACCTTGTGACAGGACGGAGTGTATGTTCTTGGTAAGGGACCTCAGATGGCAGCTGAGATATGATTTGACTTGATTTGGTTGGTCAAGGCAGATCTTGAACTCAAAACAATCCTCCTGCCTCAGCTCCTGAGTGCTGGGATTACAGGTGTATGTCAAAATGTCCAGCGGCAGCTGAGATTAATGATTCCTCATTATGTTTTCCTTATTCTAAAGGTCCTCTTTGTTTGTTTTTTAGAGGTTTTTGTTTTTTGAGAAAGGGTCTCACTATGTGTAGCCCAGGTTGGCCTGAAGATCAAGATCCTGCCTCTGTTTCCTGAATGCCACTCCTGTCTCTGAATGTTTTCCTTTTCCTTTGTGGTAGTGGGGATTGTACTGTGCTGCATCTCCAGGGCTTTTTCACTTTTTTATTTTGAGACAGTTTTGCTTAGTAAGTGGGATGCCCAGGGTAGGCTCAAATTTGTAATCCTCCTGCCTCAGCCTCTTAGAGTGCTGAGATTACAGGTATGTAGGACCATTTTTCCCTTAACTGATGCATAGTAATCTGTAGGTGAGTCCAGGGGAGATTCTGGGATATCTCACTGGTCCAGGGAATGTAGTATCCATGGGTGATCCTCAGGCCTGTGACCTGGGAGATTCCAGTGGTTCTCTTGTTGCATGGTGGGGATTTATAGGACCCTGAGGAGGAGCTGTAGGGGTAGTGGTTGCTGGATGGAACAGCTGAGAGTCTGCAAAGAGGGTCCCACAGGTGGGTGGAGTCCTGAGAAGGCCCTGACTCCACCTACTCTTGTTGGGGATTTGTCCAAGGGTTCCAGAAGGCTCATTCCCTCCCCCAGTGTGCCTGCACCTCATGAAAGTAGCTCAAGACATGTCCATGCTACATCTGCTGGGGTCAGTGAGCTGAGACCTTAGAAAATACAGGGCAAATCTGGACCAAGTCTGACTCCCTGTGTCCTATGCAGGAAGGAACCAGGGTGCCAGAGTGTGGCTCCTTCAAGCAGGCCTGTCCCAGTGGTGCTTTGGTCTGACTGGGACACCTTTGTGGCTGAATGAGTGACATGGGCTCAGAAGAGACCTTCTAGTCCCAACACTGGTCCTTGTAGAAAGGGAGACAGAGGGACCTTGTGCATAATGTTTTCCATTGTGAGCAGTTTGCCGCAGGAGGACATCTCAGGGACCTCAGCTGCTGTGGCTGTCTTTTGGGGTAGGCTGCTGAAGTTGCTTCCTCAGGAGGTTCACAGTCCTCAAAAACAGTGCAGATGGCCCTGTCAGTCCCCAGACCTGAGGTCCTTTTGAGCTGTGACCTGGGAGAAGGCTTCCTGTTTTTCTCATTTGTCCAGCTCCCCAAGCCACTTCCATGCTCCAGGCCCCAGCACTCTGCTCTGTGCCTGTTATTTCCTCACCTGGACTGTTCCTGGACCCAGGCCAGGCTCCCACTGCAGGATATTTGAAGTTCTGATGTGAGGATTGGGATCCTGGGCAGGGCCTGATGGGCAAGGTTATAGTTACCTATGTGGACAGCTTTGCAGAGCACACATGCCTATGACAGCTAAGACGAGTTACCCAAAATGACCATGAAGAGCTGTGTATGTCCTTTGCTTGATGATTAGCTAAGGCTAGCATTGCCACCCCACCAAGAGATTGGTCAGCTGAGGCAGAGACAAGAGGTTGTCATCCCAGCACTGGGGGCTGAGGCAAGAGGATAACACGTCAGAGCCCAGCCTGTGTAACTTAGCTACTCTTTGAGCCCCTAACTCAAAAATAGCAAACAAAAGCAAGGGATGTATCTTAAGTGTGAAGACCCTGGGTTCAATCACTAGTATTAACACAAAACTAAAAGCAAAGCATGGCTTAAAAAAGTTAACAGTTTGGTACAGAGATTGGCCAGCCACCTAGTCAGTGACTTGTTTTTGAAGTGTTTGGGAATATGTAAGGCCATGGGTGTGCAAAAGGCTCTGGTGTCAGGCAGTAAGGCAAAGTCAAGTAGTTACTACCAGGACTGTTTGCCTCTGGGGCTTCAAATCTTTTCTACCTGACCCTTTACACGTGCTATTCCTTTTTTTTTTTTTTTTTTTAATATTTGTGTATTTGATACAGGGTATTGCTATGCAGCTTGGACTCATAGTGATCCTCCTGTCTCAGCCTCCCCAGCACTGGGATTATAGGCGTGCACCACCACACCCAGTTTTGGGGCTGGCATGGCATGCAGTACCGGGGATTGAAGTTGGCTCCTTGAGCTCAGCCAGGCAGGCGCTTAGACTGCTGAGCTATCTCCCCAGCCTCACATGTGCTATTCCTAGCCCCAGGAGAATGAAAGGGGTAGAGAAGGAAACACTTTTTTAACCAGGCTTTTGGATTCAGAAATTTATTTTACAAATGTCTGGGTTTGATATGAATCATGAGAACACTATGTATAGCTAGAAAATAACAGCAAGCGAAGAAACACAGACAGGGACAGTGGCATGATGGAGCCAGAGAACTCAGTAATTACCTGACAAAGCTATAAGGAAATAACTGAGGCAGTCCGGCCACCCACAGAGATGAAAAGGTCATGACAATGTACTGAGCTGTGAAGTGGGTGGATACTGCTCAGTTCCTTTGTGTCTGTGTGGAGGTTTGGGCTTGTAAGGAAGGGGCTCCTGGCAGGTGCTGCCATAATGGGTAGTGGGGTGGCTGCACTTTATGGCCCAGGTATTGTGTTTTTTCTTACATTTAGCCTCCAAACAGATCACGACTCCAGGTAGATGGATGTGCATTTCCATGGGCCATTAGGCACAGATGTGCCCTCAGAAACACACTGTAAAAAACCAGAATTGATGCCATCACACAATGAGCTGTGCACTGCCCAGGCCAAGACCTGCTTAGAGGATAGCCTTGCTGTCCTGGGCTCACATGCCAGTAAGGGAGTTAAAAGGTGGAGGGGCTGAGAGGGTATAGAGATGGGTAGGAGAGCATGCAGGGAATATAGAGGGAAGGGTCCCCCTAGGACCACTTCAGAGTCCAGCTGTAGAGAAGATAAAAGATTGGAGGAAATGGGACGGGGCAAGTGGGAGGAGGGAGGGGTCAGGAGGGAGGGGCATTAGTGGTGATGATAATGATGATAGTTACTGCTGCTGCTGCCGCCACCGCTGGAGAATGGTGGTGGTGGTACTGTTAATGGTGATGACAGTGATGGTGATAGTGGTTATGGTGGTCATGTACTGCTGCTGCTGCTGCTAGTTTGTTAATGGTGGTGATAACAGTGATGGTGGTAGTGGTAGTGATAACTGGTGGTGATAATAGTTATGATAGTTGCTATGGTGATGGTGGTATTAATGGCAATGACAGTGATGGTGGTGATGGTGGTAATGGTTATGATAGTTATGGTGATGCTCCTAATGCTGGTGGTGGTACTGTGGGTGAAAGTGTTGGTGCTGGT